TGCTTGGCGCTCCTATTGTCGGAGTCTCGGTTGCTGCTTGGCTCGCGGTTGGCGTTTGCTTGTGTTTGATGTTATACAGGTTTAACAGTCGAGACAAGCACCTAATTGGATTGCCTGGCCCGCCAAGGGAGCGGTGGACTACTGGTGAGTGGACGAGTGGCAACTAAGACATCATGTTACAACTAACTAGTGAATAAATTTAGGTCGTTTTGAGAAGTTTATGGGGCCGTGTACCACGAAAATTGTTGCACTGTCATTCCACTCCAGTACCCCGTCGAGACCCCTCATGGCAAGACGTTCCGGCATTTTAGCTAAGGAGGTTACCGTAACCCTTTGGGGCATTGCGATGGCGAACCGTTATGGGAAAATATGGGGGAGCGAGCTCGTGAGTTTTGGCCTGAGCGGTGGGTAAGAAACAAGCTCGATGAAGTGACACAACGTGGTGCTCACCTTCCTGGTGTTTACTCGTCATTGTCAAATTTCTTTACAACTGACCTCTGCTTCACACACTGATTTGAATATTAGGATGCCATTTGGCGTCAGACCCACTTCCTGCATGTAAGCCCAGGGGTCCCTTGCTGGGGGAACAATTGTCGAGTAGCGCATATACCCCGTGCTTGTGGGTTCAAGGTGTGATTTAACCCCCCAAGTCAGCTGACATTTGACCATAGTTTGCACTCTTGGAAATCAGTTATGTTTATTCCATTGAAGGCTGGTTGTTATTAACGTTCCAGGTACCCAAAAGTCGTGGTTGCCGCGTTGGTGAGAAGTTTCAGGTTTGAGCCATCTTAACTCTCACTGGGAGGTACGCTAGTCGGCTGGTCGTTTACGCTACGTGTGCTTAGATTCAGGCTCTTAGTGTCTAGTTCCCATATCTGAGGCGTGAACAAGGGGACGCAGACAAGGTCCCGAAGCTCCCCCTTCGTGTTATCGGGGTTTAGCGAAATCCAAGTCGGAACGTGAATTAGTTATAATTTTGGAATCTCGACCCGAATAAACTGCCTATACCTCCCGCTGAGTTCCAGTGCTTCGAGCACCACGCTGTGAATCGCGGCTCACCGTTGAATTACCAACAGAAAAACCTTGAAGGCAATGCGCGCGGGGGTTACATGCAACGCGGGGATTACTCCCGAGGTAACATCGGGGACGCTTATCAAAGACACCTTTTGCTTCGCGCGGATGTTTCCAGCGCGGGAATTCCGTAAGTGGAAAACTCCATTTGGGGTATATAAGACCACCAATGGCGGGTACACGCCGCAGTCATCTCACTATTGATTCTCACGCCTTTACAATATGGCGATGCCCAGTACACTTGAAGCGATTTCCTCGAAGATCCCGGCTGCCGGGTGGCTTACGCTTAGCGCTTGCATTGCTTTGGCGCTGTACCGACTCAACCGTCGCCGGAAGCTTCTGGTGAACCTTCCCGGGCCACCAGCGCCGAAATGGACAACTGGTGAGTGGATAACTGTTATACGGCGACACATTTGACAGGCCCGAGAATACTACAGGCCATTTTCAGACCCTTTTTGGATTCAATGCGATCCCATACTACACTGCCAAATAGCCCCGTGCTCCAGAGATGCGATAATCTCCGGAATGATCGCTATCACCGAGGAGCTCCAGGAGCACGTGGTATTATGCTCTGGGGCACTCCGGGCGTTCCTGAGGCGGGTGCCGGAGATCGAGAGAGATCCCGAGACTCAGGAACCCGTGGACTCGACGGAGCCCCAGTCATGTGCTCCAGCGATTGCTCCTGACTGCTCTGGATTTGGGGGGGTGTCTCCAGCGCTCGTGCGCTCCGGGGATCTCCGGACGACTCCAGATAAAGTTGCGATTTGGCTGAGTATGAATACCTTGTTTCGAACTATGGTCCCACAGCGAAAGTGAATGGCGCTTTCGGGGTGAGAAATATCAATCAGGCCAACAATGTCTGTATATTCACTCGACACTAACAGGGGGAGTTTATCTGGACATTCGATCCGGCGGCCATGCACTCAATCCTAGTGAAAGACCGGGTAAACTTTGAGCGTCCCACAGGAAATATCTTGTGTGTATTGTTGGTTTCATAGTCACTCGTGAATCTCATTGTGGCATTTGCAGGTTTATTCGCTCTATTTTGGGAGGTGGGCTCCTTGGACAGACTGGTGAGTGCATACGTCACAAATATTCTAGGGGCTAATGATGGCACAGGGGACGAGCATCGTATCCACCGCAAGGTTAGTGCACGTACTATAAGATGTTCATATATGACGTGAACGATATTAAGATACTTAACCCGGTATTCACGATGAGGTTTCTACGTGAATGTGAGTTTAATCCCGTATATCTTGGTTTGACCGAATTTTGACTTTAATAAAAACAGTGGTAAGACATACTCGCATATAGTGCTAGTGGTAGTATGACCTGAGCATTGGAGTACATAGATGCCAATATTCATGGGTATTGCCGAACAGGTAAGCAGCATTCAAAGGCAGCTCCAAATGGTTCACATATGTTACTCGAAGACGTGCGAGGCTATTGAAAAGGACCTCGGTCATAACCCCTCCAAGGATATCGACATATTTCCTTGGATGACAGCCGCCGCTTTAGAGTTGGTTGGCGAAGCCGGCCTTGGTTATTCGTTTAACTCGTTTGAAGGAAAGCGTAATGAGTACTCAGTTGCAATCAAAAACGTTGTGTTAGTTATCTCCGTCATTTATGTGGCATACAATCCTCAACCTTCCTTGACCTTGCAGACGATTCTTCATCAAGGTCGTGCCATTTGGAGAACTGTTGCCTTACCTTTACAACATTGGCACCCCTTCATTCCGCCGTTGGGTATTGCAACACATTCCCATTTCGGCTATACGGCAACTTCTTCAGGCCGCCGAGCTCCAGAACAATCAGGCCGAAGAGGTGCTTCGCTCTCGCAAGGCACTCCTTGCCTCAGGGAGCGACTTGACATCCGAGGCTGGCCGTGGAAGAGATATCATGACCCTTCTCAGTGAGTGTCTACGATCTGTTGTTTTTGGTATTTGGCCTCAGTAACGTTGGAATCAAGTGAAAGCCAACGAAACCGAGGGATCCGAAAACCACATTAGTCACGACGATATGATTGGGCATATGAAGTAGGTCCTTAATCCTGATTCTACCGACACGCCTGTAGTAAAATATCATTAGCGTGTTTATCTTTGCCGGACATGAGACAACTAGGTGCGCCAAACGTGCTTTGCAGCCTACTTATAGTAATCGCATCATTTTCAGCACGGCTGTGTCACGTATTCTCAACATCCTGGCCGACAACCCGGACATCCAGGTCAAACTCCGCGAAGAGATACGTCACTATTTTGCAGAACACCAAGACGACACCAACCACGATGCGTTGCTTGAACTCCCTTATTTGGATGCCGTCGTCCGTGAAACGCTGCGCATGCATGGACCTGTATCGAACATCATTAGACAGTACGTTTTTAGCCCTCAAAATGCTCGGGCTTTCCTCCCGATGACGTTCCCAGGAGCCAGGTAGACACTGTCGTCCCGCTTGAGTACCCTATCAACACTCCCACAGGCAAAATCACAAGTATCCCCATTAAAAAAGGCACTCGAGTCGCTATGAGTATTGTCATGGCAAACCGATACGACAAGACTTGGGGAGAACGGGCCGATGAGTTCTGGCCAGAACGATGGATCGGTAACAAGCTGGCTGAGGTGACCGAGCCAGGTGCTCACTTGCCTGGAGTTTATTCGTCTATGTAGGCCCCCCATGTCAGTGAAATGGCGTGCCGTGTTTGCTGACAGCTCTAACCGGCAGGATGACGTTCGGAGGCGGACCCACATCTTGCATGTAAGTTTTTAAACGCATAATTAAGTGTTGGCTAAATTTGAACGCATATAATCCGCCGAATGCAGCGGATTCAAGGTAAGGAATTCGGGAAGCCTTTGCAGACGCTACTAAGTTGTATCTCATTCTAGTTTGCTATCTTGGAAATCAGTTGCGTCATAAAATAGCTGTATTTTACCCTGACGATCTCTGACAGTTCGTGTTGTAGAGGTCATGATTGCTACCTTGGTGAAAACCTTCAAGTTCGAGCCGTCTGAGCAACAATCGCTTTGGGAGGCGAGTATTTTATTTGGAACGAGTATAACGGCACTAACCAACCAGCGGTTGTTTTAGACCATGGGAATCCAGTTTCCGTACCTCAAGTCTGAAATGAGTAACACAGACAAGCTCCCGAAGCTACCACTTAAGGTTTTGAGGCTGTAGTGGCCACACCTAAGCAATATATTCTGCTGTTATTTAAATGAGGCCAAATCGACTCAATGAACCCGGCAACCTTGCGCATACGTGGCACGTCCGGGAGCTGTTCAAGAATATTGGTATCGTAGCGAGGGCGGCGACCAGACGAGCGGCGCTGAGGATACGGTGCTTATAAACGGATGTGCGTCACCATTCTTGACCGCACAGGTTGCCGCACCTGGGATAGGGGGATGCATTGGTGTCTGGGCGTCCGTGTTCTGCCATCTACACTGCACACCCAGACGCCTAGTGATGACGGCGGGTCCAGTTCTGCACTGGGCACACCGACGCCGATCGTCGGGAGTGAATGCGGTGGATCGAGAAGAGACGGCCTATCGCTCTGGGTGTGACCGAGTCGGGTGTGGTGTATTCGCCCAAGTCGACGTTTCGGTACAGTCTGAGCCGTCGATCCCTGTGTTTGTCACAGAGCATGGGACTGCCACCGCACAGGGTAGATTCCTTTCCGGTGGCAATTGGCCAGTATCATAAAGACGGGATCGAGCAGGTTACGGAGGACGTCCAGAATCATGAGGTGGTGTATGCCGAGGATCCGGGTGCCAAGGCGCGGTGGGCGTTTATGCAATATATTGACCAAGATGGTTAACGCCCCTGGTCTGCTAAATATGGTGCCAAGGGTGACTCCAAATCCTTACAGCATGGATGTAAGGACGCAGTCCGAAATTTAAGATATATTGGATAGTGTACTAAGCCCAAAAAAAAAAGCTGGACAAGTCCGGAATTGAACCGGAGACCTCCTCAAGTCACGTAGCTTGCGAATGAGGCGCGATAACCCCTACACTACATGCCCTTGTTTTCTCTCCTTTCTCACACCTGGTAGCCTTCCCACTTCACTTCACCCTCGTTACCCTGAGCAAGAAGCACTCTCGTTCCTGCTTCCACACCGCAACGACCATCTCCCTCTAATAGCCACGTTAGTCGAAGCGTGTGACTATGGAATCACTTGTTCCCCAACAGATAAGGACCGAACTCGGTCAGATTTTGGCCAATCTCGTCCTCGGAGACAACGCAATCCGACGATCGTGAGCTGTTCCAGTTGACCCCGTTGTTCCTTTAACGACCCCTGTTCAAGTGCGGAAAAGGTGCTCAATGACAAGTGGCTTGCAAATCAACCAGAAATACTTCTATTGGCCCTTGCCGAGTTCAGTCGACAAAGCCCTGATGCTCATATGAGAGCCTTCGCTGCAGTTCTTCTCCGTCGACTGATCTTCCGTCCCCCTTTGCATCCCGTGCCGTCACCACACCCACATCAGTCGATTGCTGCTCCCAAAACGACCATCTATGACCACCTTTCCGAGACAACCAGGGGAAATCTCGAGGTTATTCTCCTGGCGGCCTTGCGAGAGGAGCGGGATTTGAGTGCGCTGAAGGGGGTGACAGAGACAGTATGCGAGCTGGCAGTGGGAAGCTTCGAGAGGAAACGTATGTCTATCTCACATGCATTAGAGAAATCACTCATGATCTCTGCTAGGCCCTTTCCCTGAGTTAATAAACGTCGCCTCACAGCTAGCCAACTCTAGCGATGCCATGCATAGAGAATCTGCTTTTAGGTATGCACCAAATTAATACCAGACGAGTAAGAACTGAAAATTCACTACACAGAATATTTACAAACGTGCCGCATCTCCTCTGGGATCAGGACCCCCAACAAGTCGTTGCCGTACTAGAGAACGCACTCAAGCCTACCGAAGTCATCCCGGTAAGTGGCTGAGATATAGAGTGGGATGACATCTAACACTCGCTATAGGTGCGACATGCAGCTCTCAAGGCATGCGCGGTATACCTTTCTTCCAATGACCCAGCCTTGCAGAGCCAAACCGTTGGTTTGGTGTTCCCTATGCTAATGGTGTGAATCGACGTTTCTCTCAAGAAAGTGCTTGCTGTACTAATTATTCTTTCCAGGCTTTAAACGAGTTTCCTCCACGCGACCAAGTCAAAGCACTTGAAACCCTCACATCTCTTGCTTCCGATTTCCGCACTGCAGCCCTTTTCCGCCCGCACATCGGCACGTTAACACGATGCTTGGAACCATTCCTCAATGAGCAACCCCCAAATCAGACAGCCGACATTAGTGCTACGCCCACCCTTGCCAATCCGGGTCTACCTCAATTCGTATGGCCACCAACAGACTCTAGTGCACAAAGTTCTTCGAGCAACGGCGCTGACGAGGAAGAGACCTTGATAGAGCGACGATTTTCGGCATTGGAGTTTATGGTTAGCTTGACTGAGGCTCGCCCGGGGATGTTCAGGGCCCCTATCGGGCCAGAGGGCGAGGGAGGGGAGGCGGCTGGGGGTGGTGGTATTCTCGGAGGTGAGAATAGCGTTCAGGCTGCCTGGGTATCAACGCTTGTGAGGGCGTGTCTCAAGGGAATGGGCGAAGTCATTGAGGAGGGAAATACAACGCAAATCGCATGGGAGGAGTGCGAAGATGTGAGCAGGGTGAATCTATCGGTCCCCGATTTCTAATACATTTGCTGCAGCCTTCTGCAACCGACGACGACTACGGATATCCCCAAGTATTTGAAGGAACCCTGGATCGCGCAGCTGTAGCTCTCGGTGAGTCAACCGAATAACCCCTAACCCTGTGCCAACATGCCGCTAGGTGGACGAGCACTACTTCCCGTAGCTTTCCGCGACATCCCTGTAATGCTTCGTTCGCCCCAATGGGGAGTCCGACACGCTGGTCTTATGGCCATTGCTGCCGTTGCAGAGGGGACATACCAGGTGAGTACAAACCAATTACGAGCGCACAGTTGGGTAACGGTTTTATGACGGAGGTTCTCGAACTGGAAGTCGACAAAGTAGTCGAACTGGTCGTCCCTATGTTCTCGGATCCTCACCCACGTGTCCGCTTCGCGGCTTGCCAGTGCATGTATGGATCTCTTTCGGCCTGTTAACAGCTCTCGGCTGATGCGCTTTCAGAGGCCAACTTTGCACAGACATGCAGGTACGCAGGAGTTGGGTGTTTTTTTCTTTTGCAATTTCTAATAAAATCACTATAGGAGATATTCCAACAACGGTACACCAAGGAGATTCTATCTTGTTTGATACCTGCTATGGACGCACCCGAAGCTAGGCATGTAATTCAAATGCGCGCCGACGCAAACGAGCTCACCAAAGATTGACAGAGTTCACTGCCACGCGGCTAAAGCGATCATAAACTTTTGCTGCGGAGTAGAAGCTGGCGAATTGGAACCATACCTTGATGACGTCGTTTCTAGGTTACTGCATCTCCTGAGGAATAGTCCTCGGCGTTACGTTCAGGAGCAGGCTTTAACGACATTAGCCATGGTTGCCGATGCAAGTGCTGAGAAATTCCAAGTGGTGAGTGTGCGGAGCAGATGTATTCTAATTAACCTGCTTAGCGCAGGATCAGTATTACCCGCCAATCATGCCACTACTTATGCAAGCTCTTCGGTCCCCGGCAACCCTTGAAACCCGCGTCTTGCACTGCAAAGCAATGGAATGTGCTGGACTCATGGGTACGTTCGACCCTTGAACACACAGCGCATATATCCGACTTTTGGTGTAGGCATCGCCGTTGGTCATGAAATATTCCAGCAGGACGCCGAAGAATTGATCAAAGTGCTGCTGCACATACAAGGTACTTACCATCAGGCCCGCTGCTGGCTCCCGCTTATCATACGCTCAGAGCAACCTACGACCGATGATGATAGTACGCCAATGTACCTCCAGCAGACCTGGTCAAAAGTGTGCCAGGCACTCGGGGACGCATTCGAGCCATACCTCCAATTTGTCATGCCGCCGCTTCTCAAAAGTGCTGGCATCAAGCCCGATATCAACATTGTCGGTACGGATCTCGCACAAGCATTTTTCATAGTAGCGTCATGCTTATTCCTGTTTTTAGAAGACAGCGACGATATGGAAGCTCGGGAAGGTTTCGACGTACTCGATCTCGACGACGGCCAGCACGTAGAGATACGGACCTCAGTCCTGGAAGAGAAGAGTGCTGCTTTTGACGCCTTGCTTGTACATTCGTCGACCTTGGGATCCAAATTCGGTCCATACATTCGACCAACTCTCGAGCTGGCGTTACCCGGGCTCAAGGTAACGACAAGCTATTCTGGCCTTTCTCAATCTTACGCCCATCTAGTTTTATTTCTCAGAAAACGTCCGAGAGGTTTGTACGCTGTGAGTTACTCTACTCGTTTAACGACCCCGTGTTGACTGGGTGCGACGTAGGATCATTCCAACCTTAATCCTGAGTGGCAACACTACTGGAGTCATTTCTCCCGAAGAAATCAACGCCGTATTCCTCCAAATAACTCGGGCAATCCAACCAGAGGGCGACGCCGGGTTCCTTGGCTCTCTTTGCAAATGTCTGGCAGACTCCCTCCTCGTCGTCGGACGGCAAGCAATTGTGCCGCCGCTCGTAAATGAGATTTCTTCGGCCTGCAAAGCGCAGCTCGCGGCCTTGGCCTCTCGTCGGGAAATGCGCGCACGAAGGATAAAGCACGGCCCCGAGTGGGAAGAGGACAAGGAGGATATGCAATTGCTACAGGAACTCGAGGACACGGCGTTTGATGAGATGAGTCGGCTATTAGGGTTTTTGGACCCGAACCATCCGGTGAGTCTAATGTGGCCTCCACAAACGATGAAGTCTGACGGTTAGCTGGATGTGCGCAGCTGCTAATCGCTATTGGCTCAATTAAGGAAATGGCCATATAAATGACTGCGCCTGAGATTAACTGTATTGAGCGTTTCTCGGACGAGCTATAACTTGTATGCTCGAATATACATGTATATGATAACTGAAATGTCCCGCGTCTGGGACGTTGAAATATTGACTTCGTTCGAAACCTTTGAGTGGGCACGACTAGTCAAATCAATATAGTTCCAGCCGAGCTGCGTTTCATATTATGCATTTGATGAGTCCAAGTGACCACCCTCACAACTAAGTGCTCGGAATGATCCCCTGAAGACTGAAGCCTGACTGCGTTCACATAAACCGCACTCGACGACATTTCCTCGCGTCCGACACATTCCCAGTCTTCGATATATACATTGCAACCAGAATAATATTATTCCCTTGAGAACACTCCCCGCAAGGCTGACAAGAACGGCTTTGCCAGACGAGAATTTCCGGTCGAAGCCGAATCACGACTCTGCGTACGATCGACTGTAGGAGTCGTGCGTGGGGGCTCCGTGGGTTCGGCATCTGGAATGTAGCCTGGCTGTCCAAGCGCGACACGTGCATCGTGAGCAGCTTTGAGCTCCCGGGCCGCCTCGACAGCAGCAGGGTGGAGCGCAACAAAGCCAGAAGGAGGCGATGGCGCAACAGCCAAGTCCTCGTGTGGGATGCCAAATGATGGGCTCAACGGGTCCTCTCTGCGTTTGTATGTATCAGCACGAGGTGTCCTAATATGCACGAGCATACTTGCCCTGCTATGCGGCGTGCGCCAGGGAGACCTGTCGCGTTAAGGTCATGATGCTCGCCTGGGCTGAAGAATTTGGAACGGCGGGGTTGGTCCGACATATTCAGGGCGTAATAATGCGTCAAGCCAAGTAACCTAATAATTGGGGTATGGTCGTGGATAGCTCGTCAAAAGTGAAGAGAAATGTTGATTATGGGAATGCTGGGAGGATAAAGGCGCGAACCGGTGAAGAACAACGAGCGACGAGGGGCTATAGATATAGTATGGAGGGTATCAAGAAACGACCACGTCTTCGTCAACGCAGGAGATCCGAGTTGACAGGAGTGTTAGATGGTCGTGGCAGGCACTCAGTTGAGCGACCAGCCAGCATCTAAACCGTTATGTTAACTCCAAG